TCGCCTCGCTGCCTCACTCTCACTGTTAATCCGGTGTGAAGAGGTGCCAGACCGGGTACTTGTTATCGAGTGCGCACGTCCCTGCCCGTATACATACATTCGCGTTTGACTGGACAATGCCCGTCCCAAAAGGGGATCTATGCACCAGCCCGTTCCCCATCTCACCCTCTCCCTACGTCTATTTTCCACGGTGTTCTTATCTCTACACGGCTTTTTAAAACTATGACAGTTGATGCTGACCGTCCTTTTCCTGCATATACCCGACCATTCCGCCCACGCACACGACCACTTATTATTCGACTCAACGCAACCAAAAAAAAAACAATAACCTCATCCGCCGATCCTTTCTCCCACGCTCACCCCTACCCAATGTGATGCTATTTCACCGTACCCGTCTTCCCCCCTTCGCAGTTCACGACCCTGTCCGGGTTCATCTCCTCTTTCGCCGTCATATTCGTACTCCTCCTCGTCTCCCGCAACTACATTCGAAACGTACACCATCCACCACCAGGCGGCGAATGGAAGCTCATCCGCACGCACGTCGACGCCTACCTCTTATCCCTCCTCGCCTCCGACCTCATGCAAGGCCTCGGCGCAATCCTCAATATCAAATGGACGAGCGAGAGACGAGTGTATTGTTCAGCCACGTGTGATGCGCAGGGGATTGTGCAGATTATTGGGGAGACGGGCGTGGCGATGAGTACGACCGCGATCACGATTCATACCTTCCTCGTCATCTTTTTCCGGTGGAGTCCGAGTCCAAAGGCCAGTTGGATCTGGAAGGTGGTGATTACGTTTATATGGGTGTATGTCGTCTTGTTTGGGATCGTGGGGTTTGCGAGACATCACAAGCCCGCCAACGATAACGTTACGATCGACAACTTTTTCACGCCTACGCCGTATTGGTGTTGGATCTCGGGTCACTTTAACGATGAGAGGATCGCCGGCGAGTACTTTTGGATCTGGTTCGCCGCGTTCCTCTCCATCCTCTTGTACACCTTGTTGTATTTCCGCGTCCGCGGTAATATTACGGTCGATCCGCTCGATTGGAGGAGGGTGAGGTTTCAGTGGAAGCGGTGGAATGCGAATAGCGATGAAGATAATAACGCCTACTTTTCGAGTTCGGGGAGGGGAGGACGAGGTGGTGAGGCCGGTAAGGATGCGGCCAAGGAAGCCCTCTCGATGATTTGGTATCCCGTCACCTACACCATCCTCGTTCTGCCCCTCAGTATCGTCCGATGGTCCACCTTTAGACCGCAGGGTAGGTCTCTCATTTCAATTCCTAGCTGTCGATGTTGACTGGTTGTAGGTCAAAAAGAAGGTTCGGTCCCACCTGCCGTGACGTGGGTCGTCATTTTCATCTTTGGACTATCTGGAATCGCCAATGTCGTGCTCATGTTGCTCACCCGCAAGAACCTCTTGCTCTTTGGACAACGCGGTGTCGTCAACCCCGCGAGGATCGGAGCCGCTGCCACCGGTCGACTGGCCGCCTATAATCGTGGTCCAAAGGGAGGAGCTGCTGCTGCTGCTGCTGCCGGTGCCGGTGCCAAAGGAGCCGGTGCGAATGGCGGTTACGGTGCAGATTTGGAAGCCAAACGAGGAGACGATGTCGTGCCCGAGCGAGGCGTTGATACCGAGAAGAAAGGAGGACCGTTCAATCTCCGACAGGTCGTAGGTGCTATTCGGCACCATAAAGACAAGCATACCGAAGTTGGCTCGAGCGAAGAGACGAGTGCG